CAGGTCCCGGCAGATCCTCCTCATCCTCCATGTCCAGCCACACGCTGCCGGCCTGGGGACACGGGGGTGACATGGGGGGACACGGGGGGGACACGGGGGGACATCATGGGGACACGGGGGGGACACGGGGGGACATTGTGGGGACATTGTGGGGACAGTGGGACAGTGGGGGGACACAGGGGTGCCGGAGGGGTGCCCCAGGTGCCAGAGGTGCCGCAGGTGATGGGGATTGGGGTGACAGGGGTGACAGGGGTGCCAGAGGTGACAGGGATTGGGGTGACAGGGGTGACAGGTGTGCCCCAGGGGTGCCCCAGGTGTGCCCCAGGTGTGCCCCAGGTGTGCCCCAGGTGTGCCCCGGGTGCCCCAGGTGTGCCCCAGGTGTGCCCCAGGTGTGCCCTGGGTGCCCCAGGTGTGCCCCAGGTGTGCCCCAGGTGCCTCAGGTGTGCCCCAGGTGTGCCCCGGGTGCCAGAGGTGCCGCTGCCGCCCCACAGCCGCTCCAAGGACGTGCTGGAGCCGCGGGCGGTGCCGCAGTGGTTCGTGCGCTGCCAGGGCCTGGCCGGGGCTGCGGCGGCCGCCGTGCGCAGGGGGGACCTGAGGCTGCACCCGCCCGGCCACGCCCGCACCTGGTTCAGCTGGATGGACAACATCAGGTGAGAGCACCTGCCCCGTGGCCTGACCCATGGCACTGACCCATGGCACTGACACATGGCACTGACCTATGGCACTGACCTATGGCCTGACCTATAGCACTGACCTATGGCACTGACCCATGGCACTGATCTATGGCACTGACCCATGGCACTGACCTATGGCCTGACCTATAGCCTGACCTATGGCACTGACCTATAGCACTGACCCATGGCACTGACCTATAGCACTGACCTATGGCCTGACCCATAGCACTGACCTATGGCACTGACCTATAGCACTGACCCACACCTGCCCCTCACCTGCCCCACACCTGGATGGCCACAGGCGAGGCCCCGCCCCTCACCTGCCCCACTGATTCCCGCAGGGACTGGTGCATCTCCCGGCAGCTCTGGTGGGGCCATCGCATCCCCGCCTACTTCGTCACCATCAACGACCCCCAAGTGCCCCCCGGCCAGGTGGGGGGTCCTGGGGGGCTGGGGGGGGCACTCGGGGGGTCCTGGGGGGCTGGGGGGGCACTTGGGGGGTCCTGAGGGGCTGGGGGGGCACTCGGGGGGTCCTGGGGGGGAGTTCGGGGGATGCTCTGGGGCGGGGGGGGGGCACTCAGGGGGT